AGGGCGTGATTCAAAGACCAATTAACGAAATCAAGCTCATTAAGAAGCATTTAAAAGCGAAAATACCCATCGCCGACGCATAAGAATGGCACTTTCAAGCCCAAAACGTAGCGCTATAAAAACCCGTTTGAAATTGGGGTTTTCCCACCAGCAACTTTTTTCAACGATGCCCCCAATGGGGATCGCGCTTTATAGCGGCGTTTAAGTGCATTGTTTGCATACAACGGGTGAGTAAAAAGTGAAAAGAATCGCTAGCGAAAAATGGAGAAACATGGTTTCTTCGCAAGACGGCGCTGACGAGTTCACCGACAACGAGCTTGTTGGAACGTGGTATACCGTAATTCCGCATATCAGTGCTTCCCACGGCGTCTTGGCTTTGTCCGTTTCTGCTTTGAGTTTTGTTGCCTAGCAGAGAGGCGACTATGACGACTCATTTGCTGAAGTAGATCATCGACGTGCGACAGCTCCACGACGCATTCATACTCCATCAGGTGGTTATATTCCTCAAGACTGCATCGGCAATAGTTCAGGGTAGTTTTGAGTGTGGAGGCAGTTCCTGCGTCCAAATTGGAACACCGGAAGTTGGATAACCTGTTTAAAGCAGTGAGTTCAAAACGATGAATGTTGCGGCAAGGCGGAGCCGGTTTCGAGGCGGGTAGCAACGAAAGAATCTTCGAAACTGGACGGTGCTGGAGGCCTTCAACGGTTTCTAAAATCATAGCGACATGAAGATCTAAGTGATAATTAAGTTTAAAATTTACTTAGTGATTTTGTTGGAGACCTTATGATAAACTTCTTTTTGTAATTGACTGCCTCCAACTCCTCCGTCTTTGGCGAAGAACCACCCTGAAACTGGAACTTTGCGGTCGTCGGCAGGTTCACCGACCTTACGTACATAGCGATCTGCTGCGAAATCGAGCTTGAATCAGGCGAACTGGTGAAGCTTGAGCTCCTGTCCGAACAGCAGTCTGAAAAACGTTTAGTACATGAAAAAGGAACGAGCAGAAACTGAGTCGCTGTAATTACCGTTCGTGGTCTTCGCAGTATGCAGCTCTTCAAAAGTCTTTTCGGGAATAGGGGGCTTCTTCAAAAAGTGAAATATTTTCACTCCTATAAGATCAACGGATAAATTACCCGCATGAAAAATGATGGTCGAAAGTCACTGAAGGTCATCATTTAAAACGAACATGTAAGTGAAAGAAAATACGTCGCCATCTTTCACGCCCTATGCACATGCATCAGTATTAATTAAACAGACGCACATGGCAAGTATTCGCCTGATCTATTAGTCGGATACCCCAACATCCAGCCACTATGGAATTTACGACAGACGTTCATGGCAATCGTAGCGAATATGCAGAACTATATTTCCTTGTCGGAAATATCGTTCACTAGTTATATCATTTGTTTCTGCTTACTACAGTGATGCAGACACAGTTCAATAGACACCCTATTATCAGAACCGGTTTTACTTTCTGCCTCTAGGAAGAAGCGAGAAATAACGTAGATTTTTAGAAGCAGTGACACTATGTACCAGGTTCGTGTTCTTCTTCCCTGAGACCGATGCTGAAAGGCGCTGATGGCTCTGGTGAGGTAGCACCGTTCGTTTCCGGCGACGATGAACCGTTGATTGACGTTCTCTTATGAGATGAACGAGGAGGGTATTCGAATCGAAACACACGATCCCTGATACGGAATTCGTCGCCGTCTTCAAGAATGTAGTCGTGCATCAAAGCAACATCTTTCACAACCACCGGATGAGCCAAAGACATGTTCTGCAAGTAGACCTAAAGGTCAAAATTTGATTTACTGTCTGTAGTATATGGTCAAATATACAATGTGCACAGCTCCAGAAAACTGTTTATTTTATTTATTTAAAACAGATTTGCCAACAGTATTTGAAGCTAGCTTTTAATACCGCGGATGAGGAATTCAAACGCATTTCTGTTCAGGATAACAAAATGTTGCGGTCATCCATCATGCACCGCGGATGTTGAAAACAGAATAAAATTGTATTTATGCAAAACGCAGTGATTCAGATGATTCGCCAGTACCGACGTTTCAGTCCGTGTCTAATGGAAACTTTTTTAAGGTAGGAAGCTGGCTGAGTTTCGGAAATTTTCTGTAGTCCGAAGCGGCAGATACATTTGGAGCCGGAAGGCGAGTTTCTCGTCAGTGCTTCCGGTTAAGTTTCTCGGCGACAAGGCTCATCCAATCAGTACAAAGTCCCTATCCTTTGTCACGGTTGAAAAAAGAATGATAAGAATCTCACATCGCGACCACATATTCCACACAGTGAGTAGACAGAAAACGGGAGTGAACGATGTTGTCGCCGAAAGCAGATAGGAAAAGCTACGATGGGCCTCGTAACTCGGCTCACCTAAGGAAATAGTCAACCGCTACTACCTGGGACACTCCAAGGCTATGAGAAGATTATATCAGGAGTCAGTAAGGCCGCGCTTCGAGCGCGAGAGAACGCTCGAAACTGCGGAGAATGACGGGTGTGATCCAAGTGAATATTATAAAGAAATTTAACCGTATTTAACGGAATCCAGTTTAATTCGTTAATACAATTATAATAACAATTTCAAGAATAAAACCATCAAGGAACAAAAGTTTTAAAAGTATTTGTAAATTTGTCGCACTGTCTTTGCTGCCTGTACTGCAGGATCGAAATTTTAAAACTGTAATTTAAAACAAACACTTCAAAACTCTAAAGGCGCTAACGTTGTACGAAAAAAATATTGAATAATCATAGATACGAAGAGAGGTACTACCTCGTTTGTCGCTTGCACTACTAAAGCGCAATGTACTGGATCAACGTCCCCCCGCTGAATGCGGATATGACAGTCAGGGCTACTGAAAAATTATTAATCGTACAGTCAGCAACGCTATGACAAAAAAACAGTACCTTCCAATAAGACACCTCGTAAAAATCAATGGAAAATGAGGCCCATCTTTGTCACTTCTTTTAATAATAACCACTTGTCCATAGGTAGGCATGAAACACTGGACTTTTCACGTTCAGACCACGTTTAGGCAAATATCATGAGATTTAAACCTTAAAGCAGCAATGGGATTAGTCCAAAGTCGAGGGTTGATATAAAAAATGTTTAAAATCTATATTTATTATATACCGTAGTGCGTAACAGATAAAAATTAATTTATTCTGTGCATAATCTGAACAAACATTTTTCTTCATTGCATACGGTGTAAACGACGACGAAAAAACTTACTACCGTTTTACAGGATATATAAGTACGGACAGATGAGTGGTAGAAAGAAAAACAAATGGCCCCAACAAGTCAGACATGACAACCATTAACGCCGAACAGACGTCTTCACCAACACCGAAATTTTAGGTTACTACTCCGGTTGGCAGAACTATCCTCAGTCAGTTAAGGGCACAGGATGATGATGAGATTCAAATCTGAGTTATGCACAAATGTATGACCAAGTGTTCAGATCAACAAATTAACATAATATTGGTGTAAAGTAATTAGTTGAATTGCATAAAATCTGCGGCATTCTGTCAGTCAGAACTGATTATCCTAAAGGCTGAAGGACACCGAAATCCAAAACAATACAGCAAAACAAGCATACGACCAATGACTGCTATGCGGCAGTTTACCTGCATAAAATACATTGTAGAAAGTTGGTCGGTTCTCCACTTCGGATGTGGCACTGAAATGACAAAAGTAAACGAATACATGATCAACAAATAAATCGCGATTGGTAATTTCATCAGGACAGTATTTAAACGGCAAACTTCGACGGATATGTACAGTGTGCTTGACGCTTCAGCTCGCACTGACTCCCGTATCAGCAAGCCTAATGCACAGTTTTCAAACGCAATACGAATAAAAAATAACTGCATTAAACAGTTGCGAATTATTTTCCCAACATAAAATGTTCGGCAGATTGCACACAATATACGAAAATAAGTCCTTTAAATACTACCATGAAAAAATTGAAAATCTGTAACTGGTGGAATGTCAGTCTTTCCCATGCATTCATAATGGGGACATTCAGGCGCTCGACTTTTCAAGCAGTTACTAGTGAAGCGCATATCTCCATTTCCTTGCCATTACTCAGGAGTGCCTTATTTCAAAAGTAAAGTCGACAGCAACTATGTGGCAAGCATAGCGTGTAAACTTTCTTTCCCATAGTGGGACTCATTTATCAACCTCAGAAGAAACAAAAGCGAGTGACCCACCAGGGCTCGAATACAGGACCTTTCGTTCTGAGTCCGACGATCTGAAAGGCATCGGCTTGTTTTGAAATTGTCTCTACCAAATGAATCCACATTATCTTTTATGCGACTTCATCGGTTGAACCTATGAGGCGGTGGTATCGAAAGGTTGCTATCGGAAAACTTATAATAAACCTGTTGTTATTCAAACTCTTCTCAGCTGCAACCGGTCAATAAATCAGTTGTCTCGTCTCTACAAAATTATTGATTCAAGTCTTAGATTTTATTTAGATCTAATTATATTTATATACTTTTTGTATATTGCCCCACAACACAGTGGGATGAATTGTTTCCTCTAGAGAATCAGTAATTAACAAGAGAAAATTTCACTCAGCGGCTGGGATTTAAATCTCCCACGCTTAAGCAAACTACTAATTTGTTGAGCCACTGCCCTCCTTGCGGAGACGAAGGAAATGAAGTCCTCAGCCTGACTTAAATATGAAGTATGGCGTGCTGACGATCAAAAATCTACTGCAGCAATCATCTAGAATTTACTTGACCCTACCGTTCCAAAAGAAAACTCGGTCTTGTACATAAGTGGTGACCAAAATATAGGGTAGCTAACAAGCCTCTGTACACATAAATACATTGATATCATACTCATCGGCTTCGAATACTAACCAAAACTCGAACTCGACGTTTTTCAAAACGCTGGTATCCAACCTGGGTACATAAATCATGGGATTAAAAAACAAATCAGTACAAGACTATGAGCAGTCAATTAAATGACTACTGGTATTCGTAAAGAGGAATTGTACAGAGGAATTGTACCTCCTTGCAATCACACAGAGAGCAGAACAAACATTTGACGAAACGGTGACAACTGTCAAATCTCTGTGGCTTTCCCCAGCTGTGCACTAAAACCGGGGATTGCTTGGTGGGTTGAGGGGGGGGGTTCAACTCGAAACTGAGAAGTCCACGGTTAGAACCCCGATCACTTTCCTTTCTTCTCGTTGAAGATATGAGATGATAAATAAATGAGTACTGCTCTGTATGAAGGAAACATCAGTGAAGCGCCGTGCTTGCCACATAGCTGCAAATTATACTTTTAAAGGAAAGTTTGTATCCGTTGGAATGTCGGTCTTCTGATGACTTTCATGATCAGGCCATTCTGGTGTACTTTTTCATGAAGTTTACGACGCAGTGTTAAGCTCCGTTTATAACCTATGAGTCAGGCATGTCTTATTTTTTACAACCTTTATTTTCTATTGGCATTTAAAAAATGCACTTCCAACTGATTGCACAGCAATGGAGACCAGCATCACATGATCAAAGTAACGAGTAGGTGCCATGAGTAGGAAACAGCAAGGGATACCGACATCCATTTGGTTTCCTTCTTTTTTACCTTTCCATCTTTGTACTACAAATCGCTACTCTTTCGCCATGGCAATCGACTAGAAACGACGAAGTTTTCAAGTATCTGCTGGGTCAGAGCCAACGTGCATTTGAAAATTACATAAACTGCTATGTGAAACATTACTGACGCACTGTTTCAGATCTTTCTTTTCATCAACATTTTTATATGCATATCTAGAAATAAAGCATTCTCTAAAGTTCCATCTTTCGAAAGGAATCGCTAAGAAAACCTGGCTAATTTCAATGCTGCATGATTGCTGACACTGTTTTGCAATTGTTGCTGTCTAATATCCCTGAAGACGGATCCAGAATGATCTCGAATTTGTTTAAAAAATTGCATGTGGAAAAGACTCGTTTGAAGATTATGGGTTGTATGCTCGTTGTACAGCAACCAGATTACAGAACTTCGTTCACTGTTTAGTTCGTAGTTTTACTGCTTTTCTTCTCAATGCATATATTAGTAATTTAATTTTGGCGATTTTGGCGACACTTATTTTTCTTTCGTCTCTGCTGGAAAACAGGATGATTTTGATGATCTTGTTAAAGCACTAAACCCTCAGCGATTCAATAACAGCGGCAGCTCCATCGGTAGAAAGTCGGACTCATAAATGAGCGATGTTGAGTTCCAGTCACGGTCGGGTCATTCGCCTTACATCGTTCATAAGTAGATAAACGAGAGGCTCCTGTGAGAAAGAAATAAGATACTACACATCACAACGATCACTTAGCCGCAGATATAACCTTAATAAATAATAAGATAACTGACAGTATGGAGACGAACATTATCATCGCATGGATGAAAAGAACGGTGCCAAAATTGATGCCCAATATGGAAGTGTTAAAAAATGCACAATACCAAAGTTAGCTTTTTTATTTAGTATTAATATTTAAAAATACGAAAATATAATTTAAGCTTACACAAATCTCCTACACGATTATCCAAGATTACGGGCTTATTAAGTACAGAATCTCAAACATTTCGAATCATACTTGAACCCTATTCAGAGAGTGAAATCAATCAAAATAAAAAACTCCTTTTTCTTTCACACACTAAAGACATTTTGAGTATTATGCCGAAACGTCGTCAACTCTATATATAATAAACTTGTCATGATGTGCCATCCGGCCGATGATCTGTGAAACTTCATTTGGCTTTAAATTTAATTTATAAATTTAAATTACAATTGTACTTTGTGAAAA